AAATGGTGTAGAATGAGATGCATGTAACTATCTGATTAAACCAAGTCAAAAAGTAAGTATTTGACATGTTTCTTATAATAAAAAAATAACAAGATTAATTTCTGTTGTAAATCATCAAATTGAGTTGAATTCAATTACTGCATCTCAGAGATATACCAAATACATTGAACATGTTGTCTGACTTATTAGTCCTACATAGTTGAAGTCATTTTTATCCATAGTTGTTATCAATACAGATAAAAAATGATAGAAATATAACAGAAGTTGGAAATGCTGAAATCTTCCTACCTTCACCTAAAGCTGCAACAAATAAATATTTGTTTCTATTTCAGTCCAATCTTTTTCTATTAATATAGCTGCTGTTATAAAATGGTAAACATCAGCAAATGACAGAGCAGATATAAGCTAACAAAATCACTTTATTTTTACAGTGTTTCTTTTCCCTAAACCATACCAGGATATAATACAATATGTTCCTCAATGCAAAACAGTGAACTGATGGTTCCTGTTTTTTTAATGTGTTTATTTTATCATAGGTGTACTCACCTGCATCATGTTCTTAGAGGCTTATGGGTAAAGTAATCACTGCCCTCTTTTATGTGGGACTCCCCCGAAACCTGCTGCCCTCTATACCTGATTTCCTCTTCCTTTCTTGATATTCTTCTGTTAGATGGGAAAACCTGTTGTCATTCTGTTTTTCTCTCTCTCTCCTACTCCCTTTCCTTTTTTCTGTCCACACCAGCGTAACTAAATCCGTCTTGAAGGGTGCCTGACCTCCACCTTTGAAATCCCAAAGCTGGAATAAAATGCGCCGGTGTTTTAAAGAAAATGTTYGAGCTATTGAAAGACCAAGCCCTGTTGACAAAACACAGCTAGGTTAAAGAAATCTGACTCTCCAACGCACCGTACCGAAGTTTCTCTTCCTACCTGCATGCCTTTTGTCCCTCCTCCCTRGTATTGTACCTGTCAATCTTCTAAATGTGTCTGCTCGCAGGGCAGATTTTTTTTTTTTCATTTGAACATGCTTAGTGTGCTTTACTGTTGATTTTTTTTATTTAGTGCTTTATTGTTGATTAACTTTAATCAATGATTTTGCCCCTTGCCATGAATGGAGACATAAACATGCGAAACCACAGTTGTAAAGCTCACAAACACAAGCCAGGTGTGCAATAATACGCCTTTAGGCAGAGGTGTTGGCCCCGATTACTTGTTTTGATGGTTGGTTTCTGTCATTAAACTGACTCATGTATCAAGCAAGTGCACTTCGCACCATCATGACATACAAACAACAGCAGATTAGAGAAATCAGCCTTTGATAAGACACATGCTGATAATACTACACYCATAAATTCCAGTAATCCATAATGAGAAAATGATTGTGTGCGACTGTTTTTGGTGATATACAAATTGGACATTTACAGGGAACAGGCTTAACCAATAYGCTAAATTATTTCCAAAATGACATAATCGCTGCTCGTAACTGTTCAGTTCAGTTCAGTACCTTTATTYTCCCTTCAAGGAGGGAAATTTGATTTGCAGCCAAGCATTTCCAACATACAACACAACATATAATACATAGACAATGTCAAAGCATACAAGCAGCAATTTGTAAAGGTTTACCGTATTTATTCATGTAAAATACGATCTCATGTATAAAACACCCCCCCCCCTTCTGAGCTTAAAAAGCATAAAAAAAATTTAATCCTCAAACTACCTCCAATTTCATAC